CTGCCAGTAGTTCCTCATAGGACGCTGATTGGTCTAAACCACTGTGGCTCGGACACAAGTGCGTAACCTGAAGCCCGGCAAGATGGATTCTCCCATGATATCCCGAGTCCAGCTGCCTCGCAAGGTTAACTCAGCACGTCTTGATCACAGTTAGTAGAAACCAACCCCAATGTATCTTAGCATTGTTTTTCTAAAACTCTCAGATATTGGTATCGGTCAGGGTGTAGTATAGCACACAGATACCTAATCTCAAAGCATAGTTTGAAATGTTCTGTAGAAATGAACAACACAACAGAGTAGAGGAAAAGTGCAGGTCTACCAGCCCCTGATAGTTAAGAGTGTATTCTCTGAAATAGTCTGTAACATAGTGGATGCTACACAGGACGTTGTCGGTAACTTTATCTGTGCTTGCAGAAAGCTGAATGCACTGTTGTGGTGATAAGATAACCAGCTACATGGAAGAGGGTGTGTGTGTGCTTGTGTGTCCAGAGGAAATGGATTCACATGGATGCAGTCTGTGTCTGGTTAAAGAGGAACACAGAAAACAGAAAACAGCACACATTTATTATTTGCCTCATGTCGGGAGAATGTGAGAGGCTGTTAAGTCTTCACAGGGCCCAAGCAGCATTCTGCGTTACAGCTGAGCGTTCCTTTCCCAGAAGCAGGTAATCCTTTAACAGCCACCTATGGCTGTTGGCTGCGTTGTTTTGTTTATCCTGACATACAGCACCAAGGAGGCTCGTTTATGACGCATTTCATCAACACTCATAAATACAACACACTTCACGATAACCTCATCACGTGGCACCTGCTTTTATGAGCCCAGATGGAGGAAAAAACAGCCTGATACTTCTTCACGTGTCTGCAATCATTTACACACAGGTCTGTGTTTTGGTGTGCTTTATAGATTTGATATAAAGGGGCTGTTTGTTGAAAAACGTCATACTCGCAATACACCGGAGAACAGTTGCATCCATTGAATGTAAAAGCCTTTTTATATTTTATTTCTACCGCTTGTTTGTACAGTGTTTTCCTATAACATCATTTTTTTGGGCATGTGGTTTTATTCAGTATTTAACACTACACGATTAAAATTCAGAGGCACACTACAGTAAAGAACGGAAAGCTCTGGTTTGTAAGGCTTGTCTCTTTTTTTTTTTTTGTAGCTAACCCCCTCTTCTGGTGATTTCTGTCAAGCTTCAAAGTTCTTCAGAAAATATCCTCTGTAAATGTCTTACTGACTCAATGTGTCACTGAGAGATAAACAGTCGGAGTTGAGTCAGACCTCTTCTTGGGAAAGAGGAACCCAAAGTTGGCACAACTGAAATCACAGGATAGCTCATTGTTTTGCCAACTTTGATGATACCACAGGGCGCCCGGATAGTTCAGCTGGTGGAGCTGGCACCCCATGTACCGAGGCTGAGTCCTTCCTGCCGTGGCCATGGACCTGTGGCCCTTTGCTGCGTGTCATACCCTTTTCCCACCTTTTCCGGTCTATCTTCAGCTGTTAATTCCTAATTAATTATATAATTGTGGGAAAAACTGAAAAAAAAGACTGGATCCCATTAGATTTTTATTATTATACTGTAATTGAGCAGGAAGATTTTGAATATCTATCTTGTCATTGCTCTCTGCTGAACAGTGGAATGGAGGCACTGTTTCCAAATGACCTTTTACCTAGTTTGACATTTCTGTACTGAAATATCTTTTATGTATTGGCTGGCATATACACACATCTATCTGCAATGAGCTAATACCTGGCCCATTTATCAGCCTATTTCAGGTGAAGCCAACAAAATGTGCTTTTAGTATTTCTTGACTGGAAGCTCGCTGAACTACCACATATCATCTTGCCTCTGTATCGTGATACTGATACCAGTGTGTTGATGGTGTGCATAGTTAATCATCAGTACTGGCTACATACGGTGGGTGCTAAAGCGTCCCTTTGACAAGAGGATGCATATTGGATATATTTCAGCGGTTTCACACCATCCCCCATCCATGTAAACAGGAAGTATCATTTTGCCATGGAGTTGGTAAGCTTGCTGTGGGCTACAACTTGAGCCCTGTTTTCTTTTTTCAGCCTATAATTACTTTGTGGCTAATTGGTACTATTAAAAGAATGCAGAAGTAGCTGTTAGCAGTTCCTGTTTGCAGTGTTAACCCCATGGATGTACTCACAACTAATACTGGATTAGAGTCAATGATTGGTCGACAGAAAATGAATAAACAATAAACAGTGTATCTGTTAGTCAGACAAACATCGGATGATGCCACCTTGGACTTTTTACACCAACATTTACACAAATACATATTTTTTTGTTGTTTTATCATTTTATTTAAAATGAGTAATCCCATCAATCGAGAAAATAATATGCAATAATCAATAATGAACAGAACTGTTAGTTGTGGCCTAGTTATTTTAATATTGAAGACATTTTTATTTTTTCTAAGGTTTCTTAGCAGATGTTTATTCATGATGGACAACAGATAAGGATATCCTAGTAAGGTGTAAGTCACACTGAATGGTCTGAATGAATAAACTACTGGTATAGTTGTGTGTTTTGGCCCTGGGAATTGGACTAACACGTCACCACCTCGCCTATATTGTATGTGTACCTACATTCAGTCTTATGTTGCAACATGTGGACTACATTAGGACAGATGTTGACAGATATTGAACCCCATGTCTCCTATCTAGACCCCCACATGTCCACACTACAACTTCGGCTGAGCGGAGCCCCTTTGCTTCACTTTGGGATTCACTCCACTCCGAGTGCTAATCCTACACCACCCCATGTCCTTCAAATGACTCCTCCCAAGCCGCCTGCACTATAAATAATTTGTTTGAAAGAAATGCAACCTCTTAGATGTGCGCTGTCTCCGATATACTCCTCTTCATTTTCCATCACTCCACTCAGTGACTGGCATCTCTTGCTCTCAGACATTTGGAAACATAAGCTTAGGCTGGTTTATAATCTGTTTCTGACGAGTACTAAAGGTGCTTTCTGATTAGGCTGGATGTTGGCAACCATTTTAAAAAACCATTTGCTGCTACAAACAGCCCATTCTGGTAAAGTACTACCCATGTTGGGAAATGTCACCAGACAATTGCTGCTTTGGTAAATTGCAGTGTTGTTGGCAGGTAACCACAGCTTGCAGAACTGCTAGTGATTGTCCAGATGCTTAACTGCTGAATGGTGGTCCGAAATGTTACCTCGCGGTCCCGATGCTCGTTCATTGCGTCTGACCCTCAGGCCTGCACTAATAGAAGAGCTTTCCTGGCCTAGGTGTGCGTTGTGTTAATATTGAATCGTGGGAAACACAGGTAAGGTTACAGGTCAAGACAGATATAGGCTACAGATGCTTCATGCATATTGCAAACTCTGAATGACCTAATTTTAGATTGGGATGGCGTAGTGGGGTGGGATATTCTCTGTCTCTGGTGACAGCTAGCGTTTCTCTCTGCTGGCAGCTCTGTTTATGAGTTTAAAGAGATGAAAGCACAGGATATGAACTATATGGGAACATCATGTCATTCATTCATCATTCTGCCTACTGTGTGGTGCACATTTACACATTACTATAAAATTAATTTAAATCATTTGTCCATTGACAAGTTTATAATTGACCAATAGCAGATTTGGATAAATTAATTTAAGCATTAGTATATAAAAAATGAGTGCACATCTCGAGGCACTGTGCTTAGTACGTATCACTGGACTAACACACACACACTTACATTTGTAATTACAACATTTTAGTCTTTTTATGCTCTGTACTTTCCTGTGTTTGTCACTTTGTGTCACTGTCTCTCATTTGCAGTGTCATTTCTGTATTCAAACCACGATTTCCATACATTATGTCTGAGTTTGTATCCTGACTCCCCCGCTTCCTGTTCTCCCATAATCATGTAAAGCAGCATGCTCACAACAAGTTTGTTGTTTATTTCTTTCTGTGGAAAACCATGCAGCTGATTGCAGTTTTCTTTAATTTGCATTGCCACAAGTTCTTAAAAGAAATGATAAAGGAGTCCTAAGCAACTTGAGAAAAGTTAAACACAGTTTATGCCTCTACTTACTTGTATACTGAAGCAGATTGGCTCACAAAAGACTCTGTGGGATAACACATTATAAAGGAACAAAAAGCTGTAGAAAGTGTCTCTCACATGCAGACTAGAATAGGACCTACACCATGTGCCACTGCTGCATGATAACGTGTAATCCTCTTCTTTTTGTAAAATGCCTGAATATGATAAATGCCTGAATATGATAAAAGCCATTTGACCTCAAGAGTTTCCAGGCAACTGTACCACAGTTGTTGACCCTTTCAAACCAGAAGAAATCCCAGACCCTTTCACTACCTGTACCTGTATGTTCCCATCACAGGACGTAACGAGCCTCTGAAGAAAGACCGTCCCAAGTGGAAGAGCGACTATCCGATGACAGAGGGTCAGCTACGGAGCAAACGGGATGAATTCTGGGACACGGCGCCGGCATTTGAGGGCCGCAAAGAGATTTGGGACGCCCTGAAAGCTGCGGCTGTGGCCCTGGAGTGTAACGACCACGAGCTGGCCCAGGCTATAGTGGATGGAGCCAGTATCACACTGCCACATGGTGAGGACAGAAAACATGTAGATCGCAGAAACACACATTTCTTTCCATACAAGCAATGCACAGAATTACATTTTGTCTTCAACTACCCTCCAGGTACTCTCGCGGAATGTTACGACGAGCTCGGGAACCGCTACCAGCTGCCCGTCTACTGTCTGGCTCCACCAATCAACCTCATCTCAGAGCGCAGCGACGAGGACCCCAGCGACAGCCCCGAGCCCCCTGTAGCACCCAAGAAGGAATTCCAGCTCAAGGTACTGTGACAAACACAGCTCCTAAAATACTTACGTGGCTGTTTTTTCTCATTTTATTGGGAGTCTCATCTTTTAAGTAATCCACATACATCAAGTAACATGTATTAAAAACTATTGGATGTACTGCCATGACATTTTTTGACATTCATGGTTCCCATCAAATGAATCTCCTCCCTTTTTCCGACAAATATTGATGGATTTGATGCAAACATTTATGCCTCCCTTAAGATGAATTGTAAAAAACGTTCCGGATTCAGTTTTTAATCTGCTGCTCATTTAAACCTTTGACCGGTGTTAATGTCCACACTTCCTGTTCCCCGCAGGTACGGCTCTCCACCGGCAAGGACCTGCGCCTCAGTGCCAGCATGGCCGACACCATAGGGCAACTGAAGAAGCAGCTGCAGGCTCAGGATGACATCGACGCCGCCCACCAGCGCTGGTTCTTCTCCGGGAAGCTGCTCACAGACAAGACGCGGCTGCAGGACACTAAGATCCAGAAGGACTTTGTCATCCAGGTCATCGTCAACCCGCAGGCCCTCCAAGCCCCCAAGCTGTCACCCACCACCACTGCCTCCTCGCCTTCATCCGAGTGATTGAGGACACGGAGGACGGATGGAAGGGCAGTGCCGTGGGTAGAGAGGATGGTGGCAGGCAGTAAAGGACCAGAGGTGCCTCCTCTTGTCTGGATAAGTAGTTAGCTTTTTGAGAACAGCTACTGAAATAAAAATCAAACTGTGGAGGTACAAAACTACTTTGGAGCAAAAACATGAGGGAGAAACTCAAAAGTGCTGCTTTCTTTCATCTATCATGTGTCATTGTATGTTTTGGGGTCTGCTGGGTTGTTCTTTAAGTGAATCCGGTCAGCA